TGAGAGGGATTCCCCTGTCAACATTGACTATGTTGATGGGGATGTTGAGAAATTTTCCTTCCTTCAACCCATTGTGGAAGGAAAGAAAATTGTGCAATCTATGGCCTGGCTTCAAGAGTATATATCAGAAGATATAATAATTCATTCTGCAGATGTAGGAAGCTTATCTGAGGTATATTAACCACTTCACCTCTGGAAGATTTACCCCCCTTCATAACCAGGCCATATTTTGCAATACGGTGCTGCGTTACTTTAACTGACAATCGCGTAGTCATGCAACACTGCACATTTATGAGCTTTCTTTTGGTGGTATTTGATCACCTCTGCGTTTTTTACTTTTTGCACTTTAAACAACAAAAGACAGACAATTTAAAAAAAAAAAACATTCCCAACATACAAAAGACAAAAGTCAATAATGTCACAAACATCTCCACCCCTTAGTGTTTGCATAGCTGCTGCCCTAGCTATAGCTGATGAGCTGGCACTGACAGCTTTCTTCCAAGTTCAATCTAAGATGGGTTCTGACCGAATCTGAGCTCATATCTACTCAGATATTATTCGAGTGCAGATTCTGAAATTTCAAAGTATTACAATTCCCTCCAAACTTTTAGATATTTCAGGTCTGAGGTTGCAATACCTTGAATAAAGTGAATTCATGTAAAACATTAGCTACAACATGTACAAAAATTTTTGTTTTAGTCTTTTTAACATCTAACATTGCAAATGGCAGTTAGTTTAGTTTTTCTTTTTGCAGACAGCAGGTGGAGCTCCTTGTCACATGATGTACAAGCCCTGTTGTTTTAAATTACATGTTTGCAAGTGGAGCTCTTTGCTCAATTTCAGATGCATCTCTGTGTGACTGAAAAAGGGCCCTTTTAAAAGCAAATATTGCAAATAATTGACCCCCTAAATTGATTCTTATCTTTCTCCCATAGTATAGTTTTTGTATTTTTTTAGTAAGTAATTTTTTAAATTGATTTAGGCCTCTTGTTTCACTTACTAAATAACATGTTTTCCCACAAATCCCCACTCTACCAGAAGTGAATGAAAAAACCCCAAATAAATAATGCAATTCTTATTATGTCTCAGAATACAGTTTTTTCAGTTGTTAGTTTGTCAATTATTCATATCACTTGCAGAACTGAGTGATAATGCGTCGTGGGGAAATTTGTCATCAGACACTGAAACCGATTCTACGACTTTGCTGAGTGATGTGCGAACTTGGCGCTATATTTCAAATTTCAGTTTTTTTTTTGTTTGATTACATTATTTAATTCAATTTATTATTATATTATTATTTTTATGTTTACTTATTATATTATAATTTATGATTTCGTGTTTTAGGTTTTATCATACCTGGGATGTTCACTAGACTCTTTTTGGGACAGATTTCAGTGAGTTATTCCTAAGAATTACAGGCCTACAATAAAAAAAACAACATATTTCCATTGAAAACAATGTACCGCTTTGAGCACAGAAATACTGACATAATCAGACCGCTAGGGAGGTTAATGGGCCAGTAGATACCAGTGGCTGGTAAGGGCACAGCTGCTGCTTTCCTAACAGTCATTGACAGTCTGGAGAGTGGTAACATCATTGCCCAAATATAGCTGCATGGCTTTATTTAGACAATGATATAACCCACTCCATTACCTGTCCATTTTCTTGTGTGGCTGGTGATTCCCAATCATGTAAGTAAATGGGCCGGGTGACATCAGTAGTTAGACAACTAGAAGCTGTCATGTTCATCCATGTCACATGCCCTAAACATTTGCCATTCAGGTGAACATCCAAACATCCATTGCTCGGCACAAACGTTAAGATCATCCTAGTTGATGCCTAAGATCACATGATGCAGCTACAAAATAAGAAGAAGGCAAGTTGCAGCCAGTCTGAAACTGTTAATCAAGTTTGTGATATGCTGAAGTTACTGTGCGCAGTGAGAATTGATGGAAATAATCTGGCCAGGGGCTCTGGCTGTAAAAGAGCGACACAGAGAAGAAGGGAAGAGATTGGCAGGAATGACAAGAAGAAATAACTAACCCTCACTAGGTACTTTTTTATTTTATTTTTCTGCCACATTTTAAGGATCACCAAAGGATATGCTGATTATCTGGAAGGCAGGTCCACACCTGACTGTAGCGCTCATGTGCTAACAAGGAACATGCAAATAGGAAAAGAAACCATGGGAACAATATGAACTCATCAGTCTACTGCTTCTCCTTTACTCTTCAGTCACTGACCTGGGGTGGGGACAAGACCTGTATTCCTTAACCACTTGCCGCCCTGCCACTGCAGAAATACGTTGGCAGGGCAGCACGAGCAGGCAAAACCACGTTTTAAAACGTGTGTTTTGTAAACAGGTAGGGGGTGCCCTCAAGTCGGCACCGCCGCCCTGCCTGTCCTGTGGATCACAGCCGCGGATTTCAGTTGCTGGGTCACAGCCGGTCCTTACCGGCTATCTCCCGGCGATCGGCGGCAATCAGTGACATAGAGCACAGCTGCAGTAGCTGTGCTTTCTGTCACTTCCCTGACAGCTCGAGAATAAGCTGACAGAAGAGTTTCTCTCTCCCGATCAGCGGTGTTCCCTGCAGTACACACCCTCACCCCCTAGTAAAACACTCCCCCTCACACAGATAACCCTTCCCTGAAAAATAAAGTTAACCCCTTCCTCCCCAGTTCCATTATTACAGTGTCAGTGTTTTTTTTTTTGCACTGATCACTGTATTGGTGTCACTGGGGATGTCAGTGACCCCAAGTCAGTACCCCCCAATGTCAGAATGTCCGCTGCAGTCCCACCATAAGTCGCTGATCGCCGTCATAAGTCCCTGATCGCCATCATAAGTCGCTGATCGCCGCCATTATTAGTATAAAAAAAACCTAAAAATCCCAGTATCTTTCCCGCCATTTGTAAACGCTATAACTTTCACGTAAACCAATTAATTTACACGTATTGGTTTTTTTTTTACCAAAGACATGTTGCAGAATGCATTTTGGCAGAAATTTATGACTAAATTTGATTTTTACATTTTTTTTTTACTGGACATGTTTTATAGCAAAAAGTCCAAAATATTGTTTTTTTTCCTCAAAATTGTCAGCCTTTTTTTTTATAGCGCAAAAAATAAGAACCGCACAGGCGATCAAATACCACCAAAAGAAAGCTCAATTTGTGGGGAAAAAAAGGATGTAAATTTCATTTATGTATGGTATTGCATGACCGCGCGCAATTGTCTGTTAAACTAGCACAGCGCTGTATAGCAAAAAAATGGCGTAAATTGCAGTATCTATGTTTGTAGACGCTATAACGTTCACAAAAAGCAATCAATATACACTTATTGGGATTTTTTTTACCAAAAACATGTAGCAGAATACATTTTTGCCTAAATTTTTAACCAACTTTGAGTTTACTATATATTGTTTATAGCTGAAAGTAAAAAATATTGTTTTTCTTCAAAATTTTTGGCCTTTTTTTGTTTATAGCGTGAAAAATAAAAAGCGCACAGATGATCAAATACCACCGAAAGAAAGCTCTATTTGTGTGAAAAAAAGGATGTAAATTTTGTTTGGGTGCAGCATTGCATGACCGCGCAATTATCAGTTGAATTAGTGCAGCGCCGAGTAGCAAAAAAAGGCCTGGTCATTAAGGGGGGTAAATCCTCTGGAGGTCAAGTGGTTAATACATAACTAAACTCTTACAAAGGAATGAGTTTTGAAGACTAGTGTAAAACTGGATCACATTCATTTTTGTTAAAAAAAGGGGGAAAAAACAGTTCCTTTGGTCATGTTTTCTGTTTGTGCACTGTGAACATTCTGTATACTCTAAGTATGAACATTCTGTGGATATGTACTTGCTCCAATGACAGCTGAATGTCATAGTTTTAGTACTGTGAGCATTGTGGAACATGCTAGTTCACTGTGTGCTAGCACAGATGCTTGAAGTCCAACTGGAAAACCCAAAGAAAATCGTGGTAATGACACAACTGAAATAATACAGCATTGTCACCGTAGGAAAGAAGGGCATGTGGATACATCTTGTGGTAGGTTCACCAGGAGGTATGTAATTGAAAGTAGGATATAAAAAGGAAAAGATTACACTTTTTAACATCACAGGAACATATGAAAGAACATATTTGGTTTAAGTGTTAAGGTTTAGATACACGTTAACTGCAGCAGAGGACAATCAGGTCTTCTTGTGGTAGGTTCACCAGGTGGTACATAATTAAAAGTAGGATACAAAAAGGAAAATATTATAACTTTTAACATCACAGGAACATATGTAACAACATATTTGGTTTGGGTGTTAAAGTGTTACTAAACACATGATCCTGCATTCACTATATCTGGTCTCCCACAGTACACAGAACATGGAAATGCAATTATTTTAGTAAATATAAACTGCTAAATACCTTTTCTCATCAACAGTTAGAGCAGTCTTGTGACTTCTATCTGTGTCCAGCCCACCACTAGCTAAAGCTTGTAGGAGTAGTTATCTTTCTGCTCTAAGAAGATGGAAATCCCTTGACCTCTGTCTGAACAGTGCTGATTGGCCCTGTGCTAAGCACATGAACTCTCCTCAAAAAAAAAAAAAAAATCTCTCTAGCAATACACACAAAACTGAGCATGTGCAGAAGGGCTACGGCTCAGTCTGTATCAGGTGGTCATTTCAACAAGAGGAAGGATAGAGAAGAAAGGATCAAACAGCCTTTTTTACAAAATGCAGAGGATTAACCCCTTAGGTTCCACAGTGAGTATAACAAGCATGTTTTACTGCATATACAGACTGATTTTACTGTTGTGGGTTTAGTAACACCTTAAGGTTTAGATACACTTTAGCTGTAGCAGTGAACAGTCAGGTTTTCTACCCTGCCCAGTATAAATCTCATGACTGAAAACACAAATCTTTTGACAGGTATGCGAAGAGAGGAGAGCCAATAAGTAGCATTTCTCAGAGGGGACATTTACACTGATCATCAGTGTGGCCTCATAAGTGTGGCCAATAGTGCCCATCAGTTGTGGCTATCAATGCTCATCAGTGCTGGCTATCAGTTCCCATCAGTGCTGGATATCGGTGCCTCCTCAGTGCTAGCTGTCAGTGCCCATCAGTGCTGGCTGTCAGTACCCATCAGTGATGCCTGTCAGTTCCCATCAGTGCTGCCTATCAGTTCCCATCATTTCCTGCCTATCAGTGCCCATCAGTGCCACCTATCAGTGTCCATCAGTGCAGCATATCGGTGCAGCCTCATCAATTCCTCCTCATCATTGCCCATCAGTGCAGCCTATCAATGCCCATCAGTTCAGTCTTTCAGTGCCCATCAGTGCAGCTTCATTAGCGCATATCAGTGAAGGAGAAAAATCATTTTTTACAAGTCTTTATAACAGAAACTAAGAAAACTTTATTTTTTCAAAATGTATGATCTTTTTCATCTGTTTAGCAAAAAATAAAACCCCAGTGGTGATTAAATACCACCACAAGACAGCTCTATTTGTCTCAAAAAATGATAAAAATTTAGTTTGTGCAGTGTTGCATGACTGCGCAATTGTCATTCAAAGCGCAACAGCGCTGAAAGCTGAAAATTGGCCTGGGCGGGAAGTGCCCGGTAGGCAAGTGGTTAAAGAATGAAAGCTGAATTTGATTGGTTGGTAGGGGGCAATAAGGACAGTTGTTCAACAGACACTATGATGTGTTAGGCCAGCAGTGGTATCGAGTTAGTTAGGTGTTTGGGATAAAGATAGGGCTATATTCATAGAAAGAAAAAAGGTTAAAAAACGAACGAACAAAACTACAACAAAATGTCAGGCTCAATGGACCACTTTTTTTTTTTTCTTTTTCTGTCACCACTCTCCTATGTCAAGGGGAAGCTCCTTTCTGGGAGAAAACACTAGCACAGCTGGAGTGATGCCCCCATCCACCTCAAATGTGTGGATGTGGGAATCTGCACATTTTTTTTAATTCAATCCGCTGGTTGAAAAAATGTATAATGTATGGCCTGCCTTAGAAACTTAAGCAGAAACTTAATTTGCTTAAAGGATTTTTATAAGCAGTTGCAAAAATCCTGTTATTTCTGAGATGCAGGTGTTATAGGTTAAACACCTTTCTTCATGGTTCTAGTACTTGGTGAGAAAAATCCATAGAGCTGGGTTGTTAGTTCTTATTTCTTACTATGAAAATAGAACCGTGTAATAGAGGATCTGTTTCCAATTCCAAGTTCTGTAAAGCATACTTTAATTACCGGGTTACCATCTCATCCAAAAAGCCAAAATTGCTAAATTGAAAGTTACAAGATTGAAAGACTTCTTAACATGAGTCGATTCTTTCTCTAACATTACCCATTGAATTGTAATTCTAAAACTATACATATCAAAAATGTTTGCAGCTTAATTAATGAAAAAAGACACATTCTGCTAAGTACAGGGGTATTTTTTCTTAATAATTACTGTGAATAATTCAACATAATGGCCCACCCACATCAGATTAAAAGAGCTAATTATTTTATTCTATTATTACAAATTCCAAGTGACACAAAATTGGAGCTGATGTGCGGAAATTGATTCAGAGGCTCGCTTGGAATTCTGCGGTACAGTCTGTCTTCACTCCTCCTCTTGGCTCTTTGGCTGCCTGTCTTATTACTGCATACTGTTGATAATGTTTGATCTATGTTTACTTATGCAAGTATTTTGCTATTTTTACTATTTAATCACATGCTAATTTATTTTGTGAAAGCTTAAACTTGAGCATAGAGGCCTATAATGTACGTTTTTTTTTTATGGTGCATATTGATGTGTTAAATAATTTCTTTGTTTACAGTTACAATATACATAGACGTGTAAATGAAGATTTTTTTTTTTGAGCAGTCTATACAGCAGCTATAAAGTCTAGATCCAGAAAAACCCTGAACTTTACCTTTATTGCACCAAAGGCTGAGTTTTTATTAGGCATAATAGGCTTATGCCTATAGGCTATAAATAAGGAGCCTGACATTTTTGAGACAAGCTGGTTAGCAATCTGTATAGTAGAAGCACTAAAAAAAATATGTAAAAACCCTCCCTGCAGATAAACAGTGTTTGCAAGCTTTGCTTATAAATGCATTATAACCAGTGTCAGCAACAGGTTGTTCAAATCTGGTTGTCAATCACGATCATGTGTCAGAAAGATTGCTACCAAACTGCTATGGATATCATTAGTGTCAGGCTCATGGGACACATGTTTCACATCTCTTCTCTGGTGCCAACTCCTCTCTAGTCCATGTTCTCTGGTGCTGTGGCTGCTTGGCATGCTGCTTCTGGAGAAGACACAAATCTGTACACAAACTAGAAGGGCAGCCCTAAACAGTCGACAGGAAATGCTATTCTGCTTCTCCTCGGGACCATTGCCTGCTTGATTTCCTGCTGGCAAACAGGGAAAAGGAACAGAAGGGGCTGGAGGGACAGCCAGCCATGCCAACAGAGGCACTTAAGAGACAAAGATGGGTTTGTGTGGGTGTACACTATATTATATACACATACACTACATTGCCAAGAGTATTGGGACACCTGCCTTTACATGCACATGAACTTTAATGGCATCCCAGCCTTAGTCTGTAGGGTTCAATATTGAGTTGGCCGACCATTTTCAGCTGTAACAGCTTCAACTTTTCTGGGAAACCTGTCCACAAGATTTAGGAGGGTCTCTATGGGAATGTTTGACCATTCTTCCAGAAGTGCATTTGTGAGGTCAGGCACTGATGTCAGACGAGAAGGCCTGCCTTGCAGTCTCCGCTCTAATTCATCCCAAAGGTGTTCTATCGGTTTGAGGTCAGGAAATACAGGTCAGTCAAGTTCCTCCACCCCTAACTCGCTCATCCATGTCTTTATGAACCTTGCTTTGTGCACTGGTGCTCAGTCACGTTGGAATAGGAAAGGGCCATCCCCAAACTGTTCACACAGAGTTGAGAGCATGAAATTGTCCAAAATGTCTTGGTATGCTGACCCCTCAAGAGTTCCCTTTAATGGAACTAAGGAGCCAAGCCCAACCCCTGAAAAACAACCCCACACCATAATCCCCCCTACACCACACTTTACACTTGGCACAATGCAGTCAGGCAAGTATTCTCCTGGCAACTGCCAAACCCAAACTCAGCCATCAGATTGCCAGACAGAGAAGCGTGATTCGTTACTCCAGAGAACATATCTACACTGCTCTAGAGTCCAGTGGTGGTGTACTTTACACCACTGCATCTGACGCTTTGAATTGCACTTGGTGATGTAAGACTTGAATGCAGCTGCTCAGCCATGGAAACCCATTCCATGAAGCTCTCTATGCACTGTTATTGTGTTAATCTGAAGGCCACATGAAGTTTGAAGGTCTTTAGCTATTGACTCTGCAGACAGTTGGTGACTTCTGCGCACTGTGTGCTTCAGCATCTGCTGACCTCACTCTGTCATATTACGTAGCCTACCACTTCGTGGCTGCATTGCTGTTGTTCCCAGTTGCTTCCACTTTGTTATAATACCACTAACAGTTGACCATGAAATATTTAGTAGCAAGGAAATTTCACGGATGGGCTTATTTCACAGGTGGCAGCCTATCACGGTACCACGTTTGAATTCACTGAGATCCTGAAAGGGACCCATACTTTCTCAAATGTTTGTAGAAGCAGCCTGCATGCATAGGTGCTTGATTTTTTATACCTGTGGTAATTGGAACTCCTGAATCTAATGATTTGAAGGGGTGTCCCAATACTTTTGGCAATATAGTGTATGTGAGTATGTGGGCATGTATGCGTGTGTGCATTTGCATATTCTCCTGACCCCTGCACTAAGTACATTACATACTTCTGATCATTGCACTTGTACCCTGGACCATATTTTGCCTGTATTCCTGACCGCTGTTTGTTACACATTCCCAATCCTTGGATTCTGTATGGTGCACACTCCCAACCCATGTACTTTGTATGTTACACACTTTTGACCCCTGTACACAATACATTACATACTCATGACTCCTGCACTCTGTGTATAACCCTTGCATTATACTTCGGGTGACAAAATACTCTCCAGACATAAATTTGAATGACAGTAAGGGGTTGATTTACTAAAACTGGAGTGAGCAAACACTGGTGCAGCTGTGCATTGTAGCCAATCAGATTCTAACTTCAGCTGGTGATCTTTTGATCCTTGATCTTTAACAAGTTGTTCATGTAGTGTATCTCTCCATCTTTCATGGGTTGCCTACCTCTGCATTTCACGATACTCTTTTTTGCTTGGTATTTTTTTTAATTAGGTTATATTATGTGCATTTTATGAGATAAAATTAGTTTCCCATAATGACATTATGGGATATAATTACAACAGCATTGTTGTCATTACAACAACCTTGCAAGTGAAAAAAGTAACCTCTAATTAACTTTAACCAGCCCCAGTTAACTTCTTACTATTATTGTTATTATTTCTTCTATTTTTCCACCTTGTTATTGTAATTTGTTTTACTATGGATCTTTAAATGTTATGTATCTTTACTTTTTAAAAAAGCCTTTATTTAATTAGTAAATAACTATACGGTGCTTTGCACTATTTTTATTTACAGTAACACTAGCTGTTTTAAAATGAACACTGGCCAGATTTGCAAGAATTTTTTTTCATTATGTATTTTTTTTTGCTCAATAATTATTTTTATTAGTTTTCAAAATTTTCTAAAGTAGGTTTAACAAGCACAACAGTTCTATAAGTAAAGAGTAATGTGCTCATATTAGCAACCATAGCAGTAACGAATGATATAAGAAAATGTTGTATATACAAAGCAGAAGTGGGCCAGGGCTTTAGAAATCAAAAAGAAAAAAAAAAAAGAAACAATGAAAGATGGTACCCAGGTGGAAGGAGTGCCCCATGCTCTAAGAGCTAATACAATTTATTATATAACTAAAAAAAGGAAGCTTAGAGATCAACACCTCCATCCTAGTCTGAATCCCCCTAACCTCTACGAAATTTTAATTTTATTATATGGATTGCAAAGAAAATGAAATACGTTTTGCAGACAATATTGCCAAAAGAAAGTCTTCTTTACCCTGTCCACCACCACCACCAAACAAAAACAAAACAAAAAACAGGGGTTTAAGGCTCCAAATTCTGGGGCTATAGGTACCTGAGGTGTAAATTTGGACCTGACTGCCCCACATCCTTCTAATTATAAATATTTTCAACATTCTGCATACAGTTTTATGCAAAATGCTATATATATATATATATATATATATACCCAACATTTCATATCCCTAATATGTGCCTGCTGTATCATGTACTTGTATGAAAATGTATCTAGTTCTCTTTATATTGCTTCCTTTGTGTTAAATCCCTGGTGTTCCTGCCATTCCCCTGATCTCCTATTAAAAACCGGTCACACT